AAATATGATTTCTCTATGACTTTAAAGTCAACTTCACTTATATTCAGCAACAATAAACTGTTCAGAGTCACCAAATTATATTAGATCTTAGAAGCCATTTGCAGGCAAACTGTACAATCTAGGCAAAGATGTTCTGTGTTTAAACTGCAGGAAAAGATCAGATCTCTAAAATCATCATACCTGTAAACCATTTCATTGGTTGAGTTCCTGTCAAAAGCGTAATCGAACCGGAAAGTCTGATTCTCCAGGTAGCGGGTCAGGTCCACTTTCTGCTTGGGCTCATGGACCATCACCACGTCCTTACTGGGAATGGTGATCACATCCAGATCCTTAACGGACAACTCTGAGGAGGCAGACACGTCTTTATGTACAACTCGCTAGTTTCTGCGTGTTCCACAAAAAACATGTATATAAAAACACAAAGCAGACTGAAAACTAAATATCCATACTTCATATGCTCAATGTTAACTCTTACTGGTGAGCAAGCTGTTATTTTGTGGATGTATGTAAGGATACCAGAGGGAAAAGACTTTATAAATTAGAAGGTGTAGTTTTTGGTTTTAAATTGTTGAAAAGTTAAAAAATAGTCTAGATTAAAAACTATATGCACACTATATTTTTTCCTGCGCTGTAATTCAGGAAGCATACAGTAACCCTTTGATGCCTGTTGTTGCTAATAAGCAACAAACCGCTTGTATTACACTGCAAAAAATGTAAATAAAAGTTTTTCCTAAGGCACACTTTGCCATTGGAACAAGACAATGCAAATTTAAAATAAGAAACAACAACAACAGCAGTCTCTTATTTCAAGTGCATAAAATGCGATTATCTTGTTTTAAGAGTTAAAAATGCTCATTCCATTGGAAGATCATCGTATTTTCCTCCTCATATTAAGGGTAAATACACAGCATCACAGCAAAGCAGACAGGAGCCAGTGGTGTCGGTTCTTCAAAATAACTTTGAATTTTAACATTTCATTATATTCAAATGAATTTTAAACTCCAAATATGATCAAAATAAGTGCACACACATATATATATATATATATGCTTTAATTTTTTTTTGAGCAGGTATAGCTTTTATTTTGGTGTGGCTGTGTGCCATAATTAATATCCTGAAGCAATCTATGAATCTCAACACCTCACTCAAACAGCTTGGTCATATTTCATGTAATGAGACCTTCACTTCCTCCTCCCTGGATCTAATGACGTCTCTCTTGTGTTCTTGACAGTGGTCGGCTACAGAAAAAGACTTCAACTATCAACTACACACTTTTTTAGTGTGAACACTGCTGGTGCTTTGGGTCCATCTTACCTTTTTTATTAAGTGGACGTGCACGAACACACACACAGATTCTGTGCTCCTCAATCTGTAACAGAAAATGACACCAAGAATGAATCATATTGATATGACCGACACCCTCCTGCTCTGCTCCAGTCATCTAATCCATCCACTCTATTCTTCTGTCGATCTGCATCATCTTCCCCAGATTAACCCTGAGGGTCTTCATCTACTAGGGGATGCTGTGGGAGGTTCTGACTCACAGCATCATTGGATGTTAGAGGTCTGTAATCCAGGCTGGCCCTGAAGTCTCTGATCATGCACATAATCTCATAGTTTGGTAGATTAACGTCAACCTCCTGTAGAGAGACAAAAAAGAAAACAGAATAATGAAATTTCATCTTTTATGTGTAATGAAATGATTGTTAACTATGGATGAATAATATCTAGCCTCCAGATAATTCGCAACCCAGGACGTTAAGTCAACCCTGATTAGACTCCAACAAGGTGTTCTGTATTTGTATCAAGAAGACAGATTTTCTCTGTGCAGGCAAAGCCAAAACCAGGAAGGGATGTATTTAGTCCTTTTTCAGCATCTTAAACAGAGGCATCCAGCGGAATATGGAAAATGCCAGTCTCTCCGGGATAAACAGCCCAGAACAAACCAACAAACCTCAGCTAGAAGCCTAGGATAGAAGGTGATGAAAACAAACGTATCAAACATCAAATCTTTGCTGAAGCTAGGGTAATTAGCCAAACGGTTAGCGGTCGCTACAAGGAATGGACTTTTCTGATGGTAAAAAACTGACTTTATGTTCTTTTAAAAAAAACGCTGGATTACTTTTTATCCATACACTCTTACTTACAAATAGAATATAAACAAATCTAAGATTGGATTTATAATGCAGCCTCAGCATTTCTTCAAAGGTAGGAAGTCGAAACTTTATTTTAAAAATTATAATTTATTATGCTGCTATATCTTTATTAATTTGTCTATTGTTAATATGCACAATGTGTAGATAAGTAGGTGGGAAAATCTGAAAAATATTGAAGTTTGAATTGGAAATAAAAAAATCTGAGTTTTTTTTAGGCCATATCTTCCAGCCATAGATGTATTATTTCCTCCAGATCTAAATAATTTAAAAGTTGTTAAATGTGTGTTTTTTCATCCTCACCTGGGCCCTCTTCTCTCTAAGCTCTTGCTGCTGGAGACGCCTTTTCTCCCTCTGCTCCTGCAGCCTCTCCACCTCCTTCACACAGTTGGATTTCCTGCGTGCTGAAAGGTAAAAGATTACACAGGTAATTCAGAAATATAACCATAATATGAGTCTGCATTTTATTAGAGATTATGGAAAAATGTTTAGCCAAAAAAAAAAACAAAAAAAAACAAACAAACAAATTCTTTAATGATGTGCTCCAAAATGGTCACAACAAGTAATCTGGCATTATATTAATACCAAAAACATATTTTTTGCGTGTTCTTGCTAAGATTTTTAGATTTCAGATTTATATTACATTTCAAGATTATATTGCACTTATATTTAGTTATTTATTTTGTATACCTTGGTTTAAAAAATGGTAGAGTATCAATGGTAGAGTATTTTCCTAGGTATCTTGAGCAAGTTTTACATTTTAAACCCTAAAATTTACTATAAATAATTATAAGGTTGCCATGATCTTGGCACCATAGGCTGGGTTTTACTCCTCCTCCTCTCATCTGCTTTCCTCCTCCTAATTATCTCTGATTAGATCCACCTGTTTCTTCTGCTATTTATCCCATCTGTTCTCAGATTATTCGAGCTTCCAGCGAGTCTTATTCTAGAGTTTCTCTGTATGTGTTTGTTCTGCCTGATCTTGACCCGTTTCTGAGCCCGGACTTTTGAGTTTTGACCTCCCCAGTTCTGCTCTGCCTGTATTTCCCTACTGATAATCCCTCCTGGATCCCTCGTTTCCCCTGTGTGCTCTGGCTGCTGCTGATCGCTGCTCCTCTTCCCTCCTGGATCTCTGGTACCGGCTCAGTTTCAAGGTTCTGCTTCTCTGGACTTCACTCCTTCTTCTAAACACAGACTGAACCTTACCAGGTTAGTGACTTTCAAGCACATTGTCATTCCCTGTTTGTTTCAGAAGTCACTGATCTGAGTCTACATCCCTGTAGTGTATCCAGTGGACCCGCCCCAGCTGATGAGCAGCTGCATGCAGTTTTTTCAATAAACTCCTCTTAAATTATCGCCGTCTGAATTCTGGTTCCAATCCTCTGAGCCCTCTGACAAAGGTCAGTGTAGATGGGAAAATTAGGTGTAAACTTCCCCTCCAAAAAACTTCCTTTCTTCCTTCCTTGTGGAAATTATATATTTAACTTAATATATTTTCCAAAAATAATGTCAAAAACTTCTGATGTTGTAAATTTAAAAAAGATAAACTCTAATTTCCACAGTTTAAGTCAAACGCTTCTAACATTTCAATTAGTGTTTTACAGTAGGATGTAAAATCAGAAATCTGTTGAAACAGTTTGCTTAGATTTTTAATCTTGGATATTTCTAATCCAAATAGCGGAAGTGTAATTGGTAGCCTAAATGCAGTCTTTATTGTTGTAGGAGAACGTCTAGACGTCAGAAGGTTTAGCATTTATTAAGAACTTTATACCGATACTCTAGAAAATATTGGATGTTTGAAAAATAGACAATACAACCAAATTTGATATTGGTAAAATACTTTTAGTAATATCAAAAACTCACCTTTTTCAGTCTCAACATGGAACAGAATCACACATGCTAGTTAAAATTAGTGTGCAAAGAAAAGCTAAATAAATAATCCAAATATAAGTGCAAATAATCCTGAAAACCAAAATTAATAGAAAAAATATTTTCCTCTCTTTATTTCAACAGGTATATAATTATTTAAAAGCCTAAAGTGCTGCATTTTAATGAGCTTCGTCTTTCCCCCACTGACAGTGATTAAAGCAGCTAGAGTAGAAGGAGAAACAAGCGCTGCAGTATGAAGCCACAGGCAGTGAAAGAGGCTTTGACTTGATGAAGCACAGCTGTCTGGGACTGGGAGCATGACATCATGACATTCTGACCGAGTCGCATCAGAAAACAACAGACAGGCTGGGCGCTGTCGCTGAGCACCACTCAGAATCGGCAAGGAACCGCGTAGCCTCCAACCCACCGAGCACCGGGTGTGTTACCGTTTTGCTGCTGCAGCAGAGACTCTTTTACAGCCTGCTGGGGAGTGATGGAGGGCGGAGGTGGTTCTGCAGCTTGGCTGTGCTGACTGGGACGGGCCCGGGTGGTTCCCACTGCTGCAGCTGTAGAGCAGAGAGCTTATTGTGATCATTGATTGTGAATGAGTTGGTTTGGCATTTATAAAACATAAAAAAAGCTTCTTATCAAACTTCTGCCCTTGTATTTAAAAGTAATCTGTATTTCATGTTATTTTCACACTAGTTGAGATGCAAAACAACAACTAATCATGTTTGCATGTCCACCACTTTACTCAATAGAAGCTGTTTATTCAGGCCTCTACCGCCTAAAGAGCTTTTTCATTTCCGTCTAACATTAGAGCACAGAGCCTGTCATTTAGAAATGCATCATTTAATTTTAGTTGGATATATGAGCGGATTGGAGGATTTTTTCGCCTGATCAACAGTGATGACTCATGTTGGAGCGATAAAACTAGAAATATTTAGATTATAGGAATATTTACAATTTGTGTGCATTTTTCTTAAAAATGTTGTCATTTCTAGTAAGTAAGGTTAAAGACATAGTGGAGGATGTTAGTTTTCCAGGTGGATCATCAAAATATGTGGTCCTCCTAATTGTCAGTCATTCTGCTGATATGTTTATGTAAGGACGTTCTATGTGCTCGTCCCCAATTTCGCTTCTGACATCTTCTTTTGGAAAGTAAGCTTGTTTAGTGATGCACACAGCAACTTTTAAAAAGGGGTGTGCACGAGGAGAAATGGGCTTGTGCACGCTCTCCCATGCGTACAATTGGCGTTCCCTCTCGGGAGCAGGTACAGGGTTGTGCATGTGCATTTTTTTTTTTAAGTGGAGAGGGCGGGTCTTTTCAAAAATTCATTGAAATCCTCCACTCTGGCCGTTTCTCAACTCACAAGAACGCGAGTACAGACTCGTTTCCTCGCCAAGTTTGCTCTCACTGGAGCTGCATTTCACCCCCTGTTATTAATAGTCTCTAGATAATAATAAATTCTGACTTTTTTCATTCAGTGGGGGAATAATAATTAACACAGTCAGATAAATGAAAATCAAATGAACATTTTGCCAAATGAAACAAAAAACTCTCCATCAGAGCCAGCGGACCTTTGCACATGCGTATGCAGAGAGAGGGCTGCTGCAGACGGGCTAACGTTAGCCCTGGCTGTGGTTAGCCTCAGAGCTCCGCTGGTTGCAGCTGTGCTCTCAACTTCAGAAATCTTTTTTTTTATTTTTTTTTATTAGGCTCTAAATCAGTAAATAGGCCTTATAGTGATGCTTAAAAGTATAATGCTCTCCACAACAACCCAGCCCTCTTGATAAACGACCATACACTTTATTTAGTCGTGTAAAGTCGTGCACCACTCCGGAGAATTCGGAAATGTAACGGTTGGAATGGCCGTTTCCCTACGAATTTAAATGATTTATAAGGAAAATCTGTTTATTCCGCCAGTTTTTGAAATAAGTGGCATAATAAATGGATAAAAGATGTATTATTATTTCACATTCAGTCTATTGTAAAACAATATTTAGCCTGTAATGTTAATGGAAATATCTTAATACGGGGGATAATAAAAAAAAAAGGCCACTTATCAATTAACCGTAGTTGATTAATAGGATCAATCAACTTTAGATTAATTAATTAATCCATAACTTGCATTTCTAATCAGAAGCTTTATGAAAGCAGAGTTCAGTAATGAAAGTTTGTCTACATTTCTAAAAAATAATCACAAATAGAAATCTATGGTAAGATGGTTAGCTGGTCAAACGAACCTCTGTTCTCCCGTGGAGCATTTTCAGGCTTAGGTATCGCTGTGATCCGTTTGGTCTAAAATTAAAATCAGAGCAAACAGTCAGTAAAAAAGCACAGATGGCGAACCGAACACACAGAGGTGAAGCTTTATATGTCTGTCTTTGTAGAAATTAGGATATCAATATTATCTGTGTAGACCAGAGCATGTGAGTGGAGTGGAGCAGAAGAAATATGGTGGAGCGCAGAGCAGTTTCCTATGGAAGTAAACCTGTGTCGCTGGGATTTGAATTAAAAATGGCACTGAAATT